TTGATATGTCACCAAAGATCATTTCAATAGATTTACATTCACATTGATGTCATAATATAAAGGATTGGCTACTTGTAAGTTATTGAGAAAGCTTTAGCTACAAAGATTGACAGGTTTGATTAAACAATATTTTATTTCTAGTACAACATGGATATTTACAATACTGATATAATATATTTGAAAAAAAGCCAATTCGACTCGTCCTATGTAATTTATACCTTTCAATAGAGCATGTACACTAGTATGTAGAAACATCGTAAATATAGTTTACGTATTTACATAAACTGAAAAACAAATATTAATGATAATTTCTAATACAACGTGGATATTTACAATACTCATTTGAAAAAAAGTGAATTTGACTCCTATGTAATTTATATCTTTCAATAGACCACTAGTATATAAAAACATCGTAAATATGGCTTACGTGTTTACATAAACTGAAAAATTATAATAATGATAAAGATAAAAAGAAATAAGTAAATAATAAAGAAAAATAAATTTGTTAATAATCAAATTATAAAGTTGTTCGTCATTCTGAAAGAATACCATACAAGAAGTTTACAAATTATTAATTGCCTGTAGTCAGTGATGCATGCTCGTCAATCGTCATTAACACGGTTGGTGCACAGAATTAACAAGTTGAACCACATTTTATTTTCATTTACAAATTAATAAGTTGTGTTTCATTGTGTGATCTATACAAATTATAGTCGTATTGAAAGTTTTTATGAATGGTTTTAATTCTTTTTTTGATCTGTTTTTAAGAGGTAAAATCTAAGGTGTGTCAGCATTTTTTTATCAAAAGGTTAGATGAATTATATAAAGATAGTTCAATACTTTCTATCGTGTTAGTCATTTCAGGTTATTATGACATTTGACTATCATTTGACTTAAAGAGAGAGAGAGAGAAATGGGGTTTAATGTCCACTCGACTCAAACTTGGTCATTTTGGGATTAACATACGTTTCAATTTTATTTAAATAATTCGCTTGCGTGCAGGAGTCTTTAGCAGTGGGAGGGAACCAGAGGACCTGGAGAAAACCCACGAGGTTGAACAGGTGACCTTCTCACGTACTTTGACACAAAGACGAGGAAAAGTTTGCGAGTAAATATGGTGTGTTAAAATTATGGCTATAGAATATCAACTGAATGAATAATATTTGATTGCTCCAAAAAAGGATGATCGAAATAAAGTTATAAATTTATCACTAGAAAGGATAGAAAATGTAAATTTATTACCATGATAAAAAAAACATGTAAAGAGATTAATCATATCTTGCATAAGAGATGATTTAAATTAAGGAGAATTTTAAACTCCTTATAAAATAAAGATCAGTTCAAGTCAAGCTTAGTACGTTGTCATTTACAGTTTTATCATAAAAGGTGGTTAGGAATTTTAAATTGCCTTCATATAGAAATTGTTGCGGATTAGGACACTATTATATTGTTATAATGTACTTAGTTAAACTTAATATATGAGACTGATAACGGACAAAAACAAGTAGTTTAACATGCATGATCACTGATCTCGCTACAATAGCTAAGTATTAAGAGGATGTTAGCTGTTAAATCCTGAGGAAGTTGTTTCTTCAACAAGGATGTTTTGACAGTAAGAAGGTGAAACTTTCATATATGATTTTATTATGATGTTATTTATTGACAAGTCTAGGATTAGGTTTCAGAGGTTTGTGATTTTTGTGTTCATAAGTCATCAATATGAGAATGATTTTATCGTGAATATTTTCTAACTCTTGTGTATAATCTATCTTAGGCTTACAAAAATATAGTTTTTGTGATTGGATTAATGTGATATGTAATAGGGATGATAGAAATTGGCTGTCACTGATTGTAGAGTAAATCTCAAGCTGACATCTAGATGGGGGAAAATGAAATGAAATGGGGTTTAACATCCAACTGTTCTGCTCTGACTGGAATAATGAAGACGGGCATACGTAATAATAAGGGAAATTTTGCAGTGACACTATGGACTACTCTTATATTGAATTCCAACTGCCAAGGGATCTTTTATGTGCACGTCAATCAATACCCAGGATCTCGGTTTTCAGTCCCATCCAAATGACTAGACAGTTGTCTTTGTCAGACCCTCCGTCCTGCACCACTGACAAGGGGAAACTATGTCGGAAAAACATGATAGATCTCTAAGTGGTAGAATTCTAAAAATTTATTTTATTTTGAAAATTTAGAAATTTTTAATCTTGTTTAATGTGATTATTTCATATTTAAATGTTTATATTGAAATTCATTTGATTAAAATATGTTGCAGTCTTCTGTTTTCTCAATGTTAAGCCACAGTCAAGGTATTGATTTAAGAATCTGTCCGCTAAAACCTCTAAAGATCCCTACGCGCAAGCAAATTATTGAAATAAAATTGAACCATATGTTAGTCCCGAAATGACCTAGTTTGTGTCGAATGGACGTTAATTCCCATTTCTCTTTCTCTTGATTTTGTTTTCGTAATTAATTGTCAGATAATCTACTTGAGTACGTGTCAGCATGGATTAAGCAATGATAACTTAGATATTGTCCAAAATATGAATGTTCGAGATCAACTTTAAAATGTGAAACTAAATGTATTTCATATTTCTTTTAATGGAGTTGTTTTTTCCCCCTGATTCATCTCAAGATATTGACAGATAAAAAAAACATCATTGAATATTCATCATGGTTTTGTCAACGTATTTCTATTGTAAATAAGTAGTTTTATTTTCCTGGTAGATTGTCAACGTAATTCTATTGTTAAAATCACTAGTTCTATTTTAATGGAGTTATTTCCCCCACCCTGATTCTTTTCAAGATATTGACAGATATTAAAAACATAATGGAATATTCATCATGGTTTTGTCAATATATTTCTATTGTAAATAAGTAGTTTTATTTTCCTGGTAGATTGTCAACATAATTCTACTGTTAAAATCACTAGTTCTATTTTCCTTGTAAGATTATTTTGATAAAGACGTGAGAACCTTCATCGAAGCACCACCAGCCATATAATTGTGTTATGTGTCAAGATTCAGGCCTGGAAATAACGGTTTTAGATGTACCTGACAAAATGTCAGGCTCTAATGAAATAGTACCTGACATTTTCAACTTAGTGCTGGGCATGTATTAACAATATCAATAAGAAAGACAAATCAGTGCTAGACAAAATGACAGGCACCAGAGGTTTAGTGTCTGACAAAGCCTGAATCTGTGCCTGACATTGTCTGTGACAGGTGCCTTATTTCCAGGCTTGGTGCCAAGAGTCATTTAAAGACTGGTAATGAAATCTCTATTAAAAGTTTCTGATTGTCATTCCCAGTTTTCTGACAGTATCAAATTGGGTTAATGTATTCTAACATATACTCAAATTGATTCTCTAAGATTTAATTAAGAAACCAAATATCAATGGGAGATAATCTCGCTAGCTTTGATTCAGTCAGATTAAAAAGAGGCCCACCAGGGAGTCCTTTAAGATTGTTTCAAATGGTATTTAGTAATTGAACTGGAATATACAGGTCACATTCTATGGAATACAATTACTGCTTATTATTGAGCGATGTTTCAACTAGGCTTCTCTAGTCATTATCAAGCCATAAATATGAAAATATATAATAAGACAATATATACATGTACACAACAATACTTAGTTAATGCTGACCAACCAGAGATACCATTCTGTGTACCTTAAAGGGAACCTAACTCAATAAAAGTTTAGTGCTAATAACAACATGCAATACCGCATAGAGACCACTTTACCTGAAATTAACACCAATCGATTAAGAATCAGTAATAAGCAGAAATTGTATTGCATAAAAATGTGACCTGTCTATTCCTTTTAGAAATTCACCCTAGCCATATGTAATATTAACCAATATATATATATATTTGAACAATGATTAGGCTTTTTTTCCTTTTATTCAGATATTGATATTTAAGTCAGTTTTGCTTGTATTCCGTCGAACAGTGATAAATATTTGTATGTGTTATCATAGAATTGTCAATAGTTTGACTCAACTCAGTTGGGTTTGTTTGAACTGTTTGAATTTTCCTGGTCTCGACATATCTGAGTGAGAATCAACGTTTTTATTTCCCCTGTGGCATATTATTCAATTGATCTGGTATTTGAATTCGACTTCACTAATTGGTTTACTTCATCGATAATGTTATGTAATTAATTTTACATTGGGTTACAGTTTAAATTTTTATTTGCTTATCTTCTCCGGAAATGATCTTTCTTGTTGGTTTTGTTTTGGGGTTAGTCAACTTTAATACGGTCCTCTTGCATTTACTAGAGCCACGGTGGCTAAGTGGGTAAGATGCTGGCTCGCTAGCGTGGAGTTCGGATGTTCGATCACTGCATTGGCCGAGAAAGTTCATTGGGATTTTCTGACGTGGTTTCCCCTTGTCAATGTGGTGCAAGACAGAGGGTGTGATAAGGACAGCTGTCTAGTCATTTGGATGGTATGAAAAACCGAGGGCCTGTGTATACATTGGCATGCACGCAAAAGATCCCTTGGCAGTTGGAATTTGATATAAGAGTAGGCCATAGTGCTGCTACCCGGGCAAAATTTCCCTCATAGCACACTGTATGGCATAAGCCCGTCTTCATTAGCCCAGTTGGAGCAGACAGTAGCACATTAAACTCCATTTCATTTCATTACATTTACTATTAGAGAATTTTTGCATCTCAATTTTTAGTTTGTGACATAAAAAGGTTTTGTCATATTTGAAATGTTTTATGAAGATAGAAGATATTTTTTTGAGCTTCTACTTGAATAATTTTTTATAATTTTTATATCTAAATTATCTTATTTGTGACGAAAACTGCAATAATAGTCTTATTTTAAACTTTTATTTATTTAAAGAGTCTCAAAAATTTTTTTTAATTTGAATTTATATTTTTTTTTAGCTGCTCAAGTGACATTTTATGCAATTAGATTCACGTTGTGACGTACTGACTCTGAACTGAATCAACAAATATGTAAATTATTTGTCTAAGATGTATTTTTTGTCGATGATTTTGTTTTAAAAGGCTTTACAAATTGCAGTTGACAGAAAAGCGTGAGTTTTTTGTATTTAGTGTACGTACGCATTTGAAATGTGATAGATGCAGACAGTAGTCTACTGGTAAATACTAAACTGTGAAATACGGGCTTCAGTAAATCACAGTCACAATTAAACAAAGAAATATTTTAATTGTGGTCAGGTATACTTACAAGGAAACAACTGACTTATCGTGAACTGTTTGGATTTATAGCTGCACATATACAGGTGTAAAAGTGACAAGAATCTTGTGTAGAATTGATTACAAAAGAAACTATAAATAATCTTGGATCTTGATTGGAAAGTGGTACCAGTTGTTGTAGGAAAAGTAATAACACTCTGTCTAGTGTATGACACATATGTTTGTAGTACATACAGAGATATCTGATAGTTGAATATTCAATGCAATACGCAACAAATATTTTTAACTAGATGAACTTTCCAGGAGTGGTATCGGGCATTCTAGATAGCATACACATACCTGATTCACACACAACACACACTGGATTGATGAACTGGGTTATCGAATAATTAATCTGTATAGAAATTATTATTTACACGGAGAAGTTTGACTATTTTTGGATGTCTGAATGACATCTGAGTGACATGCAGTGATTTCTTTCACCTGAGTGACATGCGGCAGTTTCTTTCATGTGTATGACATGCTACTGGTTCTGACGTCTGTGTGACATGCGACTGGTTCTAACGTGTGACGTGAAATACAGGTGATGAGAACTGTGTGTATTATGAAGAGGAAACATTATTTTGAGAAGAAACGTCGTTGTTTTGCTGGATTACCGTCGTTATTTGGATCATGTTGTAATTTTACTAAAGAAAGGTAAGACAGTTTTTATTTATTTTATACACGGGGAGACAGTAAACTCCATTTCATTACATTTCGTTACAATACGTTCTGACAGGATGCTCTTTTCTGGAATCGAATGGGTCCAAGGTAATCTTCCATGACCTATTTTATACACAGGGAGACCGCGTAAACTCCATTTCATTACATTTCATTACTATATGTTCTGACGGGATGCTTTTTTTCTGGAATCGAAGGGGTCAAAGGTAATGCCCCATAACCTAATCATTCAGAATGTTTTGGAACATGGGAGTGAAAACATATTATATATGAATACAGTATTACATCTTATAGTGTGTATTAAAGAGATAACTCATGGAATCTTTGATCATCTCGTCGATATTATTCTAGGTATTTTAATTAATTGCAACTCAAATCATAAACAAACTCAGATCATCACACATGAGCTCAAATAAAACTCAGACCATCACACACGAGCTCCCCAAAAAAAACCTCAGATCATCATACATGAGCTCAAACAAAACTCAGATCATCACACACGTGCTCAAATAAAACTAAGATCATCATACATGAACTCAAATAAAACTCAGATCTTCACACACGCACTCAAATAAAACTCAGATCATCATACATGAGCTCAAATAAAACTCAGATCAACCCACACGCACAAATAAAACCCAGATCATCATACATGAGCTCAAATAAAACTCAGATCATCACACACAAGCTCAAAAAAAACTAAGATCATCATACAAGCTCAAATAAAACTCAGATGATCACACACGATCACAATTAAAACTCAGATCATCCTACATGAGCTCAAATAAAACTCAGATCTTCACACACACACTCAAATAAAACTAAGATAATCATACATGAGCTCAAATAAAACTCAGATCATCACACACACTTGCTCAAATAAAACTCAGATCATCATACATGAGCTCAAATAAAACTCAGATCGTCACACACACGCTCAAATAAAACTCAGATCATCACATATGAGCTCAAATAAAACTCAGATTATAAGTCACATGTTTTTTTCTTCTCGGTGGTTTGAAAAGCGTGTTTGACCTAGATTAAGTTCAAGTTTAAAGGTGACTGACTTGATAGACGGTTTTTCTTGTTCATCCAGTTTATGTTAAATTAACATAACAATATAATTGATGTGGAATGGGGTCATTAGGTCGGCGATTTGTTAAAATTATGTTAATTACTGCATTTTCTTAAGATTTAGATGAAGTGCTGACTGTTCGTGCTATAATAGTTCAAAAATAGATAATGCAAAATTAATATATTGAAAACTTCATTCAAATTACTTTATTCTGAGCGAAGATGTTAGCTCTTGAAGGTTTGACAAGATGTGTGCATGGATTGTAACCACTGTACTGGTTGTTCGAGGCTAAGCCTCACTTCACCATTTTTAGATTAAATCATTAAATGGCTAAACCGTTTTAATCTGCTTAAAATTGGACCCATTTGATGGTATCGAGAGTTGATCATAATTAATAGTTTATATAACACTTAAGGCCCAAAGAAATACATGACATAGGCAGATTTAGCTCTTGCATAATGTATGTTTCAATAGAACCAGGAGACCAAGTGGTTGAATATATCAGTTTATGAATCCCAAGTTTCATGTTGTAAGATTGTTGTTTTTTTTATTGTAAATTCTGTTATGGATCCCAGGTTGTTACCCTGTGTCTCCAGCTGATAAGTTACCCTGTGTCTCTCACTGATAAGTTACCCTGTGTCTCAAGCTGATAAGTTACCCTGTGTCTCCAGCTGATAGGTTACCCCATGTCTCCAGCTGATAAGTTACCCTGTGTCTCTCGCTGATAAGTTACCCTGTGTCTCTCACTGATAAGTTACCCTGTGTCTCCCACTGATAAGTTACCATGTGTCTCCCACTGATAAGTTACCCTGTGTCTCTCACTGATAAGTTACCCTGTGTCTCTCAATGATAAGTTACCCTGTGTCTCCAGCTGCTAAGTTACCCTGTGTCTCCCACTGATAAGTTACCCTGTGTCTCTCACTGATAAGTTACCCTGTGTCTCTCACTGATAAGTTACCCTGTGTCTCTCACTGATAAGTTACCCTGTGTCTCTCAATGATAAGTTACCCTGTGTCTCCAGCTGCTAAGTTGCCCTGTGTCTCCCACTGATAAGTTACCCTGTGTCTCTCGCTAATAAATTATCTTGTGTTTCCCCTCGCTGATGAGTTACCCTGTGTCTCTCACTGATAAGTTACCCTGTGTCTCTCGCTGATAAGTTACCCTGTGTCTCCAGCTGATAAGTTACCCTGTGTCTCCAGCTGATAAGTTACCCTGTGTCTCTCACTGATAAGTTACCCTGTGTCTCCAACTGATAAGTTACCCTGTGTCTCCAGCTGATAAGTTACCCTGTGTCTCCAGCTGATAAGTTACCCTGTGTCTCTCACTGATGAGTTACCCTGTGTCTCCAGCTGATAAGTTACCCTGTGTCTCTCACTGATAAGTTACCCTGTGTCTCCAGCTGATAAGTTACCCTGTGTCGCTCACTGATAAGTTACCCTGTGTCTCCAGCTGCTAAGTTACCCGGTGTCTCCAGCTGCTAAGTTACCCTGTGTCTCCAGCTGCTAAGTTACCCTGTGTCTCCAGCTGCTAAGTTACCCTGTGTCTCCAGCTGCTAAGTTACCCTTTGTCTCCCACTGATAAGTTACCCTGTGTCTGCTGCTAATAAATTATCCTGTGTTTCCCCTCGCTGATAAGTTACCCTGTGTCTCCAGCTGATAAGTTACCCTGTGTCTCTCACTGATGAGTTACCCTGTGTCTCTCGCTGATGAGTTACACTGTGTCTCCTGCTAATAAATTACCCTGTGTCTCCTGCTAATAAATTACCCCTGGGTGCATGTGAGATAATGAATTAAGGATTTACCATTTATTTGTCCCAAAATGCCTTCTTTCTGTGTTGATCGAATGATAATCCCCATCTTCTCTTTTTCTCTCTTCAATCTGTTTTCTCTTAGGAGTTTGTAGAAAAATAAGAGCAATTAGGAGAAATCCATCAATGTCGGTTGAGCACCTATTGCTAAGTCTTGGTGTGCAATCAAACCCAACAGACCACTGTGACATCCATCCCACACTATCTCGAATATTGATGGTATTGTCAATAATAACATCATTTGATTTTATTTCCATCGTGGGGGATTGGGTGGCTGAATGATTAGCGTGTGTGTGCTGTATCATAAGGTCTGTCATTGAGTCTGTCATTGATTCGAGTGGCGTGGTTTTATTGCCAAGCTTGTACGTGTCAAGGAGTAGGGTTGCCTGTCCAACCTGGTGGGTTTTCTCATGGTCCTCCGGTTTCCTCGCACTGCTATAGACCCCTATGCATAAACCAATTATTGAAATAAAATTTAACTTTGTTAGTCCTGAAATTACCTAGTTTACCAAGAGGATCTTAAACCTCATTTCTCTCTCTTCTCGTCCCAGGGATTTTTCTTGACTTTATGCAGATGGTTTGCACTAAATTTTCTCCTTTTAAAGAATGGTAAAAAGGTTTCTGTACCTAACTAGTTGACTGACGACATGACATGGTGACATGACAAGTGTCATTGTTCTGAGGTCATAAAAAACCTGTCTTCGCCTAACCTACTGACCTAATCAGACTGCGTTAAATTAAGGTTGTCTGACATTTATTTAAATTATCTTTAGTCCATAAAAATACACAGAGGGTTGGTCTGGTTGGTCTGCGATTTAATGTCACTGAACCCTGAAGACAAGTCCCCAGTGAGACATTAATAAATCTTTAGTCCATAAAAATACAAAGTGGGGAGGTCCGCGATTCAGCGTCACTGACCTCAGAACCCTAATTAGACAAGTCCTGAACGAGACATTTAATTAACAATTAACAATATTCTCTGATGGCTTTTGTCTGTCTGTGTCAGAGGGATTCAAGTCTATAGTCTTGGTTGTCAAGCTTACGATTTCTTATATAAAAGATTATGGGAAGGAAAGAAACGATCAATACAAAATTGATTAATACACCTTGTGAGAGTGAAACTAGTTTGATTCCTCGCATGTTCGTGACAAGGAGTAGCGGGCCTGTAGCCATGGGGTGGCTATTGGCTGGCTTAGCCCCCCCCCCCAATCGAATTAGCCCCCCAAATATTTCGCCGACAATAATGATTTTTTAGGAGTGTTCAAATTGGTAGGCCAACCGAAGGCTCGTAGCATGGTCCACCGAGGCCTGCCTGTCATCATCACCGCCTGATCCTCTTGTCTTCATAACATACGTGCGATGTGTACTGTCACTGAACAAGTGTACTCGCTCATAACACTCACATACTCGCGACTCTTCTCGTTTCGTGTAATCCTATTCTTCATGGTACCAGAGACTGCATAATTTATCGCCATTTTTTTGGGAACTGCCCTTTTATACCCGGGTTACTAGTTTATTTGTTTGCCTACAAGGCGCCAGTTCAAATGTTTACATTTGCCTACACCCGATGTAGGGTGCCTACGGGCGCCTAAAATGTAGGTGCCTATTGTGTCTAGCATAAGGTGCCTATTGTGCAGCATATACTGTAATTCTATGAATAAAATAATAGAATACCTATAGTTCACTTGGAATTTGATACTTCAGCTGGATTGCCCGGCCTAGAGTTCTCCAGGTAAATCAAAGACACTCTGTACTACCCTCAAGATGATATCGGCGGAAGGAGTCAGCCATAAAAACTTGCCTTCAATAAATGCACTCAGATGCGAGGAGAGAGCACCAAATTTTCTGGGGGAGGGACTCCCAGACCCAACGCCCTGGTTTGCGCCTTTGGCGCTTCGCGGTGGCCGGCTAAGCCGGCCACATCCTCAGCCCCTCCAAAAAATTCCATAGCCCCACCGTAGATGTTAAACGCTCTCTCTCTCTCTCTCTCTCTCTCTCTCTCATTTAGAATAATTTGATTAAAAATATGACCAATAAAAATATGATTAATGATGATGTATATAATTCATGATAATGGATTACAGATTAAAAATA